GCTCGCATCAATGTGTAAATAAATAAATAAAAGCATTTTTTGCACTTAAATTTTTTGTTTCCCGGAAAAAGGTCTTCATTCAAGTTTCATAAATTTAAAATCCATCCATTATCTTCTTCCTTTTTGGGTCGCCGGTCACTGGTGCCCATTTCCAGCCATCACTGTATGAAAGGCGGGGGACACCCTGGACAGGTCTCCAGTCCATCACAGGGACACAGAGACAAATGAGACAAACAACCATTCAGTCTCTCACTCACACCTAGGGACAATTTAGAGTTACCAATCAGCCTAACATGCATGTTTTTGGTCTGTGGGAGAAAAATGGGAGTACCCACGCATGCACAGAGAGAACATGTAAACTCCACCCAGAAAGGCCCCTGGTCAGGATTTGAGCCAGGGCGACCTGCTTGCTGAGAGGCAGCAGCTCTACCAACTGTGCCACCGTGCTGCCATAAAATAAAATTACATCTGATAAAACAAAATACCAAGACTAGAATACTGCGGACACTAAAGTTCACAACAATGCATTCCATACACACCCCTGCAAAGTTGTGCAAAAACTGGATTTTTTAGTTTTGTTGGAAACTAAATGAATGACACCTTCACTGCAGAAAACAACGATTGAATACATATGAAAAGTCATGATATCAGATTATAGGCAGTTCAGTTAGATGCATGTCGAAGTGTATAAACCACAGTTAACCAGATGACTTGCCTCTTGCAAAAGCAGCATGGCGCCAAGAATGCTGGGTAATGTAGTTTGAACCACCCCAAACTGGTCTTCTGTGAATGAGGCTTGAACGAGGTAAGACAGCGCTGCAGGTCGATAAAAAAAATAATTAAAAAAAAGGAAATTATGAACTTGGACTGACAAGATGTTCGACTTCAATAAAACTAGTGATCTTTTCTTACCTTCCAACGCCCAGATGTGTGCCTGACTGTCAGCAAAGAGAGCCTGACTGGAGGCTTCTGGAAGCTGCAGGACATCAAGTGAGCTGGTTAGAGTTCTCTTTAAAAGGAACCCTGACAAATAAGGCTTTTAAAATGTACTAAGACAAACACTAGCATTAGCAGTAAATTTTGTTTCAACAATAAAAGTTATGCTTTGATGGAATGTAATTTGGAAAGCAACATCAATTTTCTGCAAGGACTCCGGTTTCTGGACCTTACAGGGAGATAACCGTGTCTCAGTGTGAACCTGAAGGCAGCGTAACAAGAGCACGCATCACTGAAGACGTGACTGGATATCCAAGACCAAAGAGTCAGGAAGGTGACAGTAGAGCACAGGAGCAGATGTTAAAGTCTAAAATATTTGTGTTTTAAGTGTTTCTGCATCTAACTGCAAACACGAAAACTTGTTTTGGTTCAATTGTTGCCTTTTGAATGAAGATTTATATCCATATCTCTTACTGAAGCCTTGTAAAGTTACAAAAACTAACAATCAATGTACCGTATTTTCTGCCATACACGTGACACCACCTTATAAGTCGAATCAGTCCAAATACGTCTGATAAAGTGGAAAAAAACATAAATAAGTTGCATTTATTATGCGTCACCGCCGACAACCCAGAAATGGGGGCCGGTGTGCTAAAAATCGATTACATAACAAGAATTTAACAAGATTAACACTTAAAAACAATTACTCGTTTGCTCGACTTTATAGTAAAGGTGTGTCTCAGTTGAACTTTTACTTAATAAATACACTTTAATGGTCAAATCAGCTGCATTTCACCGGGGCGGCTCCTCAAAATGAAGCTGATTTGACGGTTTATCCAGGTATGAACTCGGAGCTGGACGAAGGTGGCAGCTATGGCAAGCAGACTGTGTCATTAATAGCCACTTTTACCTATTATATGACAACAGCATGCCATACAATGGTAATGTTCAATATTTTCAATGTCAGAATGAATGACAACTGTCAAAATCTCAGCCAAAAATTGGTTTATAAATAAGGGGGGGAATAAAAATTCACTTTGATGCATAAGTCGCAAGGCATGTAAATTATGCAAAAAAACTGCGACTTATAGGCTAAAAAATACGGTAGTTTTGAAGAATGCATGCACACGTAAAATAATTGTAGTTCCCATGGCTCAAAATGTGAGCTACAATTTGAAAAGTTACTTAATTTTGACTTTAAACACAACATTTTATTTACAGAAAAAGTAAAAGCCTTTTAGTCAGGGTTTCTTTGAAAGAGCCACTCAAATTAAAAAGTTGTAAGTGTGACACAACATGCACTTGTATTCAGAGGAAGATGCATAAACCCCAGGAAGCAAAGCACATTATGCAACGCTGATGGAAATCAAGGTCTAAATAGAAAGGTTTGATACGATCAGAAAAGTTTTCCTACCATTAGCTTTGCACGCACACAACACAGGTTTAATCAGAAGCAACAAAGCACATGTTATATGACGCCTCCAAGTTAATTAGTAAGGCTCACTGTAACAGCTAGATGGGTGGAAAAGAGCTACATTAGTAATGTAAGGAGCTAAAATAGTGATGACTCGGATGTTAATGCTGCTGAAAACAAATTACAATCTACTTTATCACATAAGAGCATGCAGGAGTGTTCATGCACATGCTCCACACTCTTACCTTGTTAAACAAATACATTATCAGCACTCGCTTTGCCAAGAAACTTTTAACCTGAATGAGACAATTATTTTAAATATACATTAAATTGCACATAAATATTGGCTTTTCACACAACACTGGCTACGATCATCATTCAGAAGAGGATGCACACTCTCAACACAGAAATAGTTTGATATAAACTAAAACGTGGTTCCTGATTAAACTTAGAAGAGGATTAAGGCCACGGTGCAATAATCGTTTCCCCTTAGTTCTGAGAAAAAAAGTCAGAATTCATCTACATACCTGCAAACTCATAAGGGACAAACCTAGTGCCAGTTTCCGCTACAAGATGAAACCAGGATGATGAGCTACAACATTTAATTTCCCTTTGGGATTAATAAAGTATTTTTGAATTGAATTGTATACATCTAATTCTGACGCTCTCAAAAAGTCAAAAATCTGACTTAACACAAGGAAAAAATAAAACAATTCTGAAGAAAAATAATTGAGAATTAAGCAAAAAATATTGGTTTTGCACCATGGCCGTAATCCTCTTCCGTAGACTTCTTTACCTCTCGGTGGTTGTTGAGAACCTTGAACGTAAATTTCAGTCTATAAAATTAAACAACCTGTTTTAAACCAGAAGAGTGACGGATGAAATTTAAAAATCTATTTACAAAAAGAGTAATACAAACTATTTGACCTGACTCCATTATGTCCCCCAATTTTAAAATGTGAAAAGTGTTCGGTCTCAAGAGGAGTGCTAAAACGAATAATGATGCAAATTAAAAACATGTTTCTGTGCGTTTGTTGGCACCTGTTCTTTTCTGTTCTGGAGAAACTGAGCAAGAAAACTGGGTTTGGCGGCCGCCTGCTGGGGACTGGGAATGGAGGCTGGGGAAGGCAGGGGGCTGCCATTAAACTGAGAATCTGCAAAACAAACAGAAACTTATCGTTTAAAAACAACTGATAAAATTACAAAAGCATACTATAAAAGTTAACAAACACAAGTTTTAATTATAAAATCTACAAAGAACCAAACAAAACGGGCAGTCGTATATTTGATTCTCCACCCCACTTCCCAACCTGTGGACGTGGACCAGAGTTTTGGTGCTCTTCTCATGATAAGTGGACTCTGTACTGCTCCGTGCCACGGTGAGCCTTGTTCCACTGGAGCGGCGAGATGTCGCAGGGTGGGGGAAGCAAAAGGACTGTCCAGGTCAGGGGTGAAGGGTACCGTCTGAGGGCTCTGAGAGAGTCCTCTAACGGAACGGGCAAAGACTGAAGTTGGGGTTTTCATTGGAAAAGTGGACCTCGGACTCATCAAGTCTTCTGTTCCTGAAACAAATTGTATGCAATGTAAAAGAATGTAAACTCTGTATAAACCATACATTAAAAAAAAAAAACACAAACTTGATGTCTCAGATGAGGTTTTCCTTTCACTGCCATTCGACAGTGATTTGGCCCGGCCGTTCGTCGCTACGGTTTTATGATAGGCCACGAGTCTTTGAGTCAGATCAGCCAGAAGAGCCAGACACTCTTTACTTATTGCGTTCCAATTATGAGGATGCCCACCTAGGATAGTAACAATTAATTAATAAAAACCTGCTGATTACGGTGAGCAACATGGACTTTAACCACAACAGACCTGGCTGACTGAGACTGAAGACTTCACTGCGTCGTGAAGGAGAGTGCTGGGACAGAACAGCCAAGTCCTGCAGAGCTAGAAACTACCAATCAGAGAGGGAAAAAGTCAATGTGATTAAATTTGATGCTCAAAATGTAAAAACTGCATCTAAAGCTGGAGATTATATACCTTTAAAATCAGTGGCTGCTTGTCAGTAAGAACTTTGGGAAGACACTGGTGGGAATTTTCTATAAAAGTCGACTGCACAGGAAAACTGTACCCCTGTAGGGGAAAGACAAGTCTCGGTTTAATTTTATGATTCCTTAATTAAATCATGAGGGTTTCTTCAGTTTAATACTCTAAACACCAGCACTGCTGCCCCCTAGTGTCTAAAACACAAAAAAACAGAGGCATTTTATGGCACTTTTGATGATATGGTACAATATGACTAGGTTGTTTTTTATTTATTTATTATAAAGTAAATTCATATAACTAATGTTTGTTTTTGTATTACATCACTTGAGGTTCAAACAGAACAAAGAACTACCGGTACATGGCTGCCTGGAAACACTGGGGTCTGCTGATTGGTCAGAAAAAATAAAAAAGTTCTGCAAGTATTAACAGTTCTCCTCCTAGTTTTTTTGAAGCTGTCCAAGTCCAAACACAAAAAATAAATCCAATTTAAGCACATGCATTTTGTGCACTAATAAAGCATGCACGTTTCGTGACTGAAACGATTTGCAGATCAAACTTTTCTGTACTGCCTTCTATATTGCAAACTCCATAACATGCAGCAGTTAAGACTACACCTGAAAGGTATTTAAACCTACACGTATAAAAAGCTAATTTTCTCATTCATTCAGGGCAACAAATCAAATGCCAACAGAACCACACTGCTAACAGGACCTCACTGCTAACAGAACCACACTGCTAACAGAACCTCGCTGCTAACAGGACCACGCTGCTAACAGGACCACGCTGCTAACAGGACCATGCTGCTGTAGATGCATTTCTTTTTCACTTTTGGTGCTTTGTTTGTACTTTTGTTGCATGTTTTGGTGTTTCTTGTTTTTTTTTTTTGTTGGTTTGGTTTTTTTTTTTGGCAAGTTGAGATGGTTTTTCTCGTCCTAAGCATTTCATTGCATTGTTGACCATATATTGTAAATGACAAACAATAAACCTAATACATCTAAATCACTTTATGCCTGTTAATTGTAAGCTATTTTGGATGAAAGTGTTGGTTAATCAGTGTAATAAACTGAACTCAGAAACGTTTCACTCACTGACAAAGTAAAAAAAAAAGAGGATTGAAACAACACCGTCTGAAGCGATAACTACTAGGAATGACACCAAGTAGGACCATAATGTGCCAAATAATGAAAACAAGCCATAATGTGTAAACAAATCATTGCAAATTATTATCTTTTTATTTTACAACAGTCAACACTATCCATTTTCAACGTATACTGGGGTCAATTAAAAACGAGAAAAACATCTTTATCGCTGCACGCACCTCAATGACAAAGATCCTAAAGAGCAGCAGTGTGATGTACCACGTGAAGAGGAGGAAGGTGGCACTGATCCAGAGGTGGTAGAGTAGAGAGAGGTCCAGCAGTCCTGCAATGCTGTCGAGGGGGTGGATAGAGCTGGAGGAGGGAAAAAACAAAAGGCATCTTTCAATTTGTCACACTGGTCTAAAATATAAAATAGAATAAACATAAATACATGGGCATTTTTTAAGATATATGTATGCACTAACCTGTCCAATTGTAGATTCAGAGTTTTGCAGATCCATGTTCTTGGAATGTATCCTGTAAATATTACATAAAAAAAAAACATATTGCAATAAAAATAGTTACGCAGAAAACAGACGAAAAGCCAAATCGCAATCACGATAATTATGAGTAAAATAAATTCCCACAAATATTCTTCACAAAAAGTGTATTACCTAGAAAGAAATACATTACAATGTAGTTCCTGACAGAGTAAAATGCTTGAGTGGCGCTGCACATCACCACCAATGGCAGGGATCCTTTGAAGCGAAAGTATTTGTATTGCTGAGGAAACAGTGATAATTGTGTAGAAATTAGCATAAAGCACATTGTTTTGTTATGTTTGCTTTATAAATCTGACTGAATTAGTTAAGACTGTTAATTGAGGTTTTATTTTTTTAATTCAGATTAATATTGACATGGTCACTGGATTTGCATTCAGACAGGCAAATGACAAAACTCATTCTACATACCTGGACAGTTGGAAAGGAGATGTAGTTGATGTTGTTGATAACTCCCAGCAGACTATGAGACAATCCAACAAAGGCTCCCACCAGTAAAATCATGAGATGGTACTCATTCACACACATCTGAGGATAACTGTCAGGATGAAAACCGAAGCGGTTGTTGGACTTCAGATGATGCTCATGAAGTTCAGCATGAGTGAGGCAAAGCAGCTACTTACCCATCACTATTTTTGCATGGGTAGCCAAGCATCTCATATCTGTAACCTATGGTGACGGCACAACACCAGCCAACAATTATACCCATGAGGCAGTGAGCCAGGGAGTTAATAAACTGGCGAGGGTGGAGCAGCTGACCCAACAATGCAATTTTTGAGCAGGCAATAGTTGGGATGACTAAAAGGAACACAGAAAAGAACCTTAGTATAGTGGAAATTCTTTTGACAACTGATTCATTTTTAAACAGCAAAATATTTTACTGCACCAAGGTGTGCATCACTGCAAATTTCAACTTATAATTACTCATAGTATACATATATTTAAGTTTACAACATTCCACTCTTTTATTTTTTGCAAGTATCCAAAGAACACATTAATCACAAGACAAACAACCTTCAACAAGATCTCTAGTAAATATTTCTCTGCACAACACCTGCCACTCACCTGTGTAATACTTCAAGGCCAGAAAACCAACCATGATGATCACTCCACCAAAGAGTATGAGGGAGAAAATTGAACTGGCACTCAGCAGCAAAGACAAACATTCTGGGTTAGGAAAAACAAAAAAAGACGAAGCAAAAACTAAAATAAGACTTGTGTTATACACACTCTGAAAATATCGAATTAGTCAAATCCCAAAGCAAATGTGGTGGCTGACCTGATATCGTCTGGAATGGGTGAAAAAGAGTGAACCTGCTGAGTAACACAAAAACTGCAGTGGTGGGTGGCAACAGTAGAACAGACCAAGCGATGCTGGCTGTAGCTCTCCAGCAAATTACCTGAACAGAGCAGCTGTTACTACATGTGCAATAAAACCATAACAGCAGCAGCAGTTTTGTCATAAAACTAATTTTTCTATCGGTCCTTTTATTTATCCCACTGACACATTATCTAAACACAAGATGTCCAATGAAAATGTGTAATTTAAGAACAGATTCAGCCAAATACTCTTTTTATTTGTAGATACTTTTGAAAGGAAACCTGATGTCAAATACCCTAAGATTTTCAAGACAGGAAAAATAGGCATTTTACATAACACAGAGATAGCAACACGAAAGTTTTTTTTTTTTTTTTTTTACTCACATTAGCAAGCCTTATTAGCAACGAATACGAAAATTTGTATTATTTTGGCTTGATTATTATTTCCAAACTTGTTTTACTTGCTATTCATTTCTCAATCATAGTTTAAAATGCTCTTATCTAAATATCTTGTTAAAAAAAAGACATTAACAATGTTTTAACACGTTAGAACAAGCGTCAACATTGGGAGTTGGGATTAGCATGTTAGCTCGTCATACGAAATATTTTTGTAGTTCCGTCAATTGTAAACAACTTTCAAGTAAATAAAGACTTACCTTACGGATGAACCAACAACTTGTCTCCGTAGAAAGCATGATGTTTTATTTAAAAACAAATTTACTCAGTAAAACAACCAACTTAAGCTCACTGGCTGCCAAACTATTTACCCAGTTTCCAACATCATCGCGCCACATGCATTCAAAGGGCCTCTGTAGGACCCCCCCGATAAATAGCTGTCCACATTCCTGCCTGTTGCCAGCGTTTTTACAGTGATATTATTTACATTTTATTTTAAACGAAATACAATATAGAAATGATTCAAATTTACCCATGAAGTTAAAAAAAATGTTAAAAAATGAAAACTGATATATTACTACACATTACAATAACAAAATTAAACTACACAAAGCACCAAGAAAAACTATTACATTACAATACAATAATTATAATACAATATTACTAAAATATTAAAAAAAATTATCTTATGGTTACAGATATACTTAAATAAAAACTAATAATTATTTTAAGTCTCTGCTATGCTTTCTAAAAGTTGAGTTTTTAGTGAGCCAATTCTGAATTCCTTTAGTTTAATTGTGCATAAAAGCCTTCCTTTCATGAGGAGATGGAAAAATCTGCTTCTCCAAAACAGTTGTTTTGTCATCATCCGTGGAAAATGGCTTGGTGGTCTCAAAAGCATTTGATGGAAGTTTTTGGGTTGAGCTGATGGACATGTCAGTTTGACTGACTTTGTGAGTGTATGGTTTTTGAGCAATAGCAGGGAGAGCAAGCTGCTCTCTCTGGACCTTCTTGTCTTCCCACAGCTTCAGCAGACGACGCTGATTATTTGTCATATCCTTGAGATTTTGCTGTAATGACTGTACTTGGTCTTCTAAAAGTGTCTTGGAGGTGACTGCATTTGACAACTCTGCTGTCAAGTCATCAATGGTCTGACTAAGTTTCCCAGCTTTCTCTGTTAGTGAGGTGCACTCCTGTTCCTTCTCATGCAAATCATTGATTATATCCTTGGTGGTCTTGCCATTAAAATTGGGGCTGTTCTCAAGTCCAATTTCAGTCCGAAGAGTCTTAACTTGTTTCTTTAGCTCCTTGTTGTCAACCGTCAGGGTCTTCAGTTTCTGTTTCAGAGCCTCAGTTGAACGAATCCTCGTCTCGTACTGCCTAAGTTTCTCTCTGAGCACACTTTCCCTTTGCAGAGCATCGTCTCTTTCCTTTCTGCAATTTTCCAAAAGTTTAAGCATCTCAAATTTGGATGGTTTCTCACTTTTGCCATTTGAGGTGGCCATGAGGCGTCACATTAAAAAAAAATCAAGAAATTTTATATTGTTTTTCCTCTGGAAACAAACGTCAGGTCCATGAATGAAGTGTTGAAAAATCCACTGCACCTGCCAACATGTCCAAGAATGAGATGGACGGGTGACATTCCTGTAAGAGGGTTATCTGTTAGACAAGGAGCTCCAGTGTAATTCAAAGCTGAGGCTAGAATAACCATTAATTATGGCGCTACCATCTCTGACAGTTTCAAATAACCCATTTTTTCCCTATTTGTTAATTAATCTAAGAACCTGGTCCTTCTTAATCCGTATACATAGCAGGCAGTCTTAATAAGTTTCTTTCATTCAGGATGCAAACCACTTGCTGAGGGCGTGCGCGTGGCCACAACATTTTCCACTGCAGGTGAGCTGTGCATCCGAACTGTGACAAGACTAGATTCAGTCAGATCAGTTGACTCCACCAGACGAGTAAGATGGATGACATGGACAAGCAACAGCCACACATTCGCTTTGAAAGTCAGACACTCTTTTAAATGTTGAATCTATACCTATAAGTTACAATCTCCCTAAATATTTAAAATATCTAACTGTTGACATGGAATGGCTGGCAGCATCTAATGCAAAGAACTGGTAGAAGACGTTGACTCCCTGGTAAAAGCTGCAATGATTTAAGGTCCAGATTAATAACTTTAACGTAAACAAAAAGGCACTTTATTATGAAGAACAAAAACAGTCACAAAATATTATCAATATTGCAAGTTTGTTTAAGACACACTACAGTGGAAAAGAATTGGATAATACATGAATTGTCTGCTTATCTTTTTTTCTCCATGTTTTTATGTTTTGTCATGTGAAAACATTTTTGCATCAACATAAACGTGAAAAACTAAATTTTTATCTGGCATACAATTTTTCCTTAACATTCAAAATAAATGATTTTATAAACCAGGGCTATTCAACTAAACTGTTACTGAAAAGCCAGCAGCTCATAATTAGTTATTATGTAAATAAACCAAGTATTGCAATGATCCGTTACCTTTTAAATTTATTTTGTTGCATTGAATCATAAATGCAATAAACAGAACTCAAAACCACCCCCACACATTTTTTTTTTTAAATTAACTCATTGGTGGGCCGAATTGAAGTCACCTGTGGGCCGGGAGTGGCCCCACGGACCAATAGTTGAGTAACCCTGTTATAAACTGAGAATTTGTGCCAAAATAAATGTCATTTCTTTCCAATAAACACTCATTCCAAAGGGACATGAAAGCCTGTAAAATTTATTATAGTATTTTTGTTATAATAACAAATTATTTATAAAATATTTACAAAATCATTTGAAAATTCATTCAAACCAGGTTTTGATATTAGTCGAGGCACCCAAACTATAAGAAAACACCACACCATAATCTTTACATGGCAGTTGATAAACAATCCTTATTACCAACACCTATAGTTGTTCATACATTAAATTATGTAAATAAAATAAACTCACCATTCCCTATTAAAGAATTAACTGTTCCAATAAAAGCATATATAAAATAGCACTGGTGCTGTTATCATTATTGCACAAACTTGCTTTTTAACTATTTACATGAGAGATATAATGCTGAAAACGACACCACCACAACAGATATTGTGCGTAATGCAATTCCATATCCCGATTGACTAGGTTTAAAGCCCACACCATTAGAAGTAACAAACTTGCAACCAGTTTTCATTTACATGGCCACGCTACTGCACCAAGTTTACATGCTGGCTTTTAAAGACATTGAGCTGGAATGTCCAAGTGCGGGTGAAATCCAGCCGACCCATGACTTCATCAGCAGGGGAACCTGATTCTCTCTAATAAGGCAACAGGAGAACCTGTAATTTAACAAAAAAGAATAATGCTGGTTTTAGGAAACTAGAAAATATGTTCAGGAAGTCCGGTGTCAGGTGTTTGACTCTAGTAGGTCAAAAAGACACAAACATGATCCTTAGCCAGAAAAAAGTCAGCACTGTAACTAATAAAGACATAATATATTCAACATAGCGTGAAAACAAAAACACCATTCGAAAGTGTAAGAGAAGTAGTTTATTGTGTGTTTAGCAGGTTATTAGTATATTTGTACAATGTATCGTGGCTTAAAAAAAAACTTCTTTGTCGCCACTGTTTACCTTCAAACTATGAGTTTTCATGTGGATGGTGATGGTTTGAAAGCTTCTGTTTTAGGAGAACTATTAGCGTGTGTTTCCACCTCTGGTTTGCTGAAGAAGTAGGTCTGGAAAAAAAAAAAGAAAAGCAAATAAGCAAAATAACCTGTCAAAGTCTGACCATAAGAAAAACGACAGTCAACTTTCTAAATAAAGACTAAAAGCCAGACTGTGTTAAGTGTGAAAATAATATTCTTTGTTATAGAAATGAATGCAACACTTCGACACTCTATTCAGTCACCTTTCAGACATGGGGTTACTGTAATTTGTAGACTAATTACATGGACATAACTAGACATATGATATGCCTGATGACTTGACACTGCTCACATTAAGAGGTGCCCTAACAGCCCATTGTTGTACCAGTTAGCAAGCACGGACACCGTTTCCATTAACAAGAGTCTCCCTAGAGAAAATTAACTTGATCCTTTCAGGTGCATTCATTTCCCAGAACACACACGAGGCAAGACAAAGAAAACATAAAATGGCAGCGCAAAATAGTCTGTGATGGACACAAACAAACTGGGTCAAAGCTTGGCCAATGAGAATGAGTCGATTATTCTTATCTCTACAGAGATGAACAGACAGAAGGAATCAACTAGATCAGAAGTAAACGCACAGTGAAAAAGAACAATAAATGTTTTTCTGTACGTAAGTTTTACATATATTTCATTCTATTCAGTTACAAAATGTAAAATCAGAACCCCAAGTGAATGTTATTACCTTACAACCAACAGCCAGCAGCCCATTGAGCAACAGGATGACTGACACAACAGCCATCATGACTCTGGGGTGGTCTTCTCTGAGCGCGGGCCAGAAAGTCATCACCAGGACTGAGCCAGAGAGGCAGAGGGCCACCACAATAGAGAACCATCTGAGCCACTCGTATGGGAGAATCCACAGGACCTGTTATTGAAATGTGAAATGTAATATTCACATTTTAATATTCTTATGACTAAACAACATGGGTACGCTGACGATGATGACTGAAAACAAACAAACTGCACACAAAAATGTAACGTTCCGTTTTAAATGACATTTAAAATAGCTTGAAAAACTTGGTGAAGGCAACTTTTTGAGCAGAATGGGAAGTTTAATTAGTTACTTGTCATTAAAATAACAGTGGCTTACCACAGCTGGTATGTAAATTGACAGAGAATATCCGTACACACAGACAATTTCCATGAATGTGTATGACACCAGGTTCAAGATCTTGTTGTTTCTCCACAGCAGGAAACCCCAAATGCCAAGAGGCACGAGCCAGGCATAGCTGAAGATTGCTGTAGCAGCTATGGTCACTGAAATCCACACAAGTGTTTCAAACTCAAAACATAACATGCACAGATTTCTCTTAAAATCTATGTGGTCTAATGTCAGCAGAACTTAAATTTACCTTTTCCAAACTCTGGAGTATATTTATAGTCTGGACTGCCAGAGTGCCAGAGGAAATTGGATAAGTTTCCACTGATGGCAATGGCAAACACAAGAGTGGTACAAATCCAAAATGGTCCTGAAAACACAAAAAGACCACTCAAATCTGGTAGTCTAATTAAAGGCAGTGACCTAAACATTGTTAGTAATATTACAGTAGGAAAATGACATCAGCTTAAACTATATTAACTACGTAACAACTAACCGTAAAGATCAGGATTTTTACGAAGGTAAACTTGAATAAAGTTCTTCCCAGGCCACGGCAACATCGATCCAATGATCCTCTCCTTTACCTGAAACATGTAAGAGATAATAACCAAATTAAAGCTACAATTGTTTTGAAACATTTGATCCTACAATACAAAAGAAGAAGAAAAAAAAAAAAAGTCTTACATGATGTGTTTCAATGTCAAAGAATGTTTGATAGTATTCAAATGTCCAGAAAGGGGCACTTTTCTTTTGACCACCAAGGAGCTTCAATGAAAGCAAAAATAACAACAGTAACCAACTTTGGAACATTTAAAATGCATTAGTCAGTAGGAAATTGATTTTTCACTAAAAGTCTTGGTCTGACCTCTGCCTTGTCATCGGTGCCGAGTGGATCCTCATCAGTAAAATCTGGAGAAAAACCAACCGCAGGTCTTTGGTTCTTGGACTTTAGATCGTCTTCGATGCTGATGGTGACTGCATCTCTGTTGGTGTCCAACAGACTTTCCGCTTCCTCAAATTCTAATTGAATGCAAGAAATGAAAATGGTAAAAAGCATCAATACTATTTAATATTCAGGAAAGAGTTTAGTAAACGCAAACACACTATTTGTTGTATAGTTGATAAGTTTGCTTTTGTGATGTATTCATTCAACTCTGGTCAAGAAATGGCAAAAACATATACTGTGTTTTATATTTATAATTAAACAGAGTTGATTATTTATTTATTTATTTGGGTGGGGGGGGGGCAGTTTTAAAATACTCTGGAGACTCACCTTGGAATTGAAATGGATCATTTTTTGACGCCATTCACTTTCACTAAAGTTGCTACTCCTTTGAAAACTTGCGGGCAATAAAGGCCAAACAGAGACAACAGTTAAATCTTTTGACAACTGTAAAAAAAAAAGGAGAGAAAAGAACAAGACGTTTTTAAAGATCCCATTGGTGCTGGTTTACCACGTTGCAAACATACAAGAGTTAGTTAGCTTAGTCAGTTACCAAGTTTCAACGTAAAACAAATAACCATCAATCGCTATAGTGACTGTGTAACAATAAATATAACACAAACAAAATATTTATCATGTTATAAAATACAATACATCTATTGTTTTTCTCAGCGTATTCTTACCAAAATCTCCAAGCAAACCCTTAAAACATTTCAGCTAGCTAGGTTAGCCTTAAGCAGGAAGTGACTACCAAGTAAACAAGCCACGTTCCTGTTACTAAATATTTTCAAAGTAAGGCTTTCATTATTTTTCACTTGTTGTAAATTTGACTGTGTCGAATTATATAAGTTATCACGGCTGTAAAATGCTTTATATACTTCTAAATGTTTTATTTAGGAGGGATTTATAGTATGTTTACGCCTTTAAAGAAGAACCGATTATTATGGGACTTTTACTTTGAAGTGAGCAGAGGGAACGCGGCACTTTGCAGTGATGGCTACCAAACGGAACTAAACTTATTGAAGGGGAAAAAAGAAAGGAAATTTGCACACACACACACACACACACACACACAAAAAAAACTTTGCGCATGACAAAACCAGGCAAGATTAAGTCAAATAATAGAATACTATTTTAGTCGAGGTTTAAGCTAAAGTGATGACCGCTACTGGTCATTTTGTGGTCGTCTTTATGTTTTGTTAGGCTTCCGACAGATCATGGATAACACCATGTACATTAGAGAAAGAGGCAGTCTTCGTCGTGTCGCCGTTGGTGATATAATTCTAGCAGAACCAAAGCCAGCATCATCATGCAGGAGGACAAACCCTTTGGTGCTGAGAAAAGAGCATTTTATTTTCACCTACAATGACGAGGGAAGCCTCAGATACACCACAAAATCTCTCTTTGACATCACCCTCCTGTTTGTAGCTGACAACATCCAACATGTGGACTCTCTGGTTGGCTTCCCAGAGCAAATAGGTGACAGACTTTTTGCAGCAGCAGAAGAGAACCGTGCATTTCTAAACCCAGAGATTTCTCACAAAGCCCTGAAGTTATTCAGTGATGCATATGGAGGCATGGTGCTTGGGTCTCTCTGTCTTAGAAACAGGTAAGTGTCATGCATCTGCAGCCACACTTCACAATGACCTGTTACTTTGGTTTTATTTGTCACAAAAGCGGCATTTCTTGTACCCCTTTAAATCCCCCAGGTTTCCACTCCTGCATGAGTGGATGGATGAGATAAAAACATTTCATAGCTTGAAGTCTCTAGACTTGTTTGGCTGCAGACTGGGAGATGATCATGACATATTCCAGCATCTAACATCCACATCCCTGGCAAAGTATGGCATTTCTCTGTCTATTAACAAGAATAAGAGAAATATTGTTAATGCTAGTGTTTTCTTCTTTTTAGGAGTCTGAATCAGCTGTTTATTGGTGGAAATAATGTGTCAGATGTGGGCCTGCAAAGACTGACTGCACCTATCCGGATGATGCAGAAAGGACTGGACCGCCTGCTGCTCCTGGATGTTTCTTGTTAGTAGACATTATCCGCCTACAAAAAGGCAATTGTTTTTGCTCGTATTATTTCTTGTCTGTTTCCAAAATGTCTCGTGAAAATCCAGTTTATTTATAACACGCCAAGTCACAACAGAAGTCATCTCAGGGCACTGAACAGAAACATTCAAAATGGAACTTGGAGAAATTAATCAGTGAACGTACTTCATGATATCTGTCACAGCTAACTGACCTTAGACAACCCAACAATGGCTGTAACCACAAGTTAACAACTCAAGTGGTTAACTTGGTGTGGTTGTAGCTGAAAGCCCCCCCTGTTTATGAGTGATAGTAGGATGAAGCGGGAGATGGCTCGATGGAGACTGGGACCTCGTCCTCAGTAATGAGGGCGTTGCTTTGGTCATTTGTGAAGAAAGAGCTGAGTCAAAAGGCGAATCTCTCGATTTACTGGTCTGTCTACATTCCGACCCTCACCTATGGTCCTTGGCTCATGACTGAAAGAATGAGATCCTGGATACAAATGGTAACTTATACAGCACCTTTCTATCTTGTCAAAACACTCAAAGCTCTTTACAACACGATCGGTGTCCTCATTTACCCATTCATACAGCACTCTACTAGATCTGTAGAGACTAATCAGTGCTTTAGTTTAGATCACATTCATACGCCGATGGGACACGCATCGGAGGCAATGAGGGGTTCAGTGTCTTGCCCAGGGACACTTCAGCATGTGACTGCTGGACCTGGTGGAATCGAACCCCCAGCTCTCGCATTGGAGGACAACTGCTCTAACCACTCAGCCACAGCTGCCCCGATACAAGCGGCTGACATGGGCTTCCTTCACAGGGTGTCCGGGTGCAGCCTCAGTGATAGGGTGAGGAGCTCCGTCATCCGGAGGGAGCTCGGAGTAGAGTCGCTGCTCCTCTGCATCAAAAGTTATCAGTTGAGGTGGTTCGGGCATCTGATTAAGATGCTTCACGGACGCCTCCTTTTAGAGGTTTTCTGGGCAAGTTCCACTTGTAGGAGGCTCCTGGAAAGACCCAAAAGTTGCTTATGGGATTGTGTATCTTTTCTGGCCTGGAAACCCCTCAAGGTCCCCCAGAACCACCCGGCTACAGATGAGCAGTATAGATGGATTGATGGATGAGTGGGTGGGTGGATTGTAACTGAAAGTCTTTTACAATACCAAATTATTTTGATCTAAAACTCTGGCATAAAAGCTTCTGTGCTGGGCCTAATCCAGGTCTTTAATTTCTACGTTGTTGCTGCAGGACAAATGTTTCAACTTTGTCTATAGAGCATTACAAATTGTGACTTTTTTATACAGACAATCCCATCTCAGAAAGGGCACTCCGATACCTCAAATGCCTGCCAATGCTGGAAAAACTCAATGCCTCTGGGACCAATATGAAGGTAATGCTGTGAGGTTTGCATTTAATGTTGGGTTGTAGTTTATTATTATCACCCGGACGGCTTCATTCAGTGTATGCTTCCAGCTTGGCACAGGACTGAAGACCACCATATGGAACGTGCTGGGACTTATTCATTCTGAAAAACCACTGGACTCTTTTGAGCACTCAGGATGTAAAACTGAAGGATGGGCAGAGCAGGTGAATATTTTCCCACATTAAATCTGTACAATTTGTTTATAATAAGCAGTGTCATAAAATTATCATTTACTGGTAACTTGCATCCAGGTTGTAAATCAGTGGGAAACAAATGGCTCACAAAAGTCAAAACAGAAGAAAATGGAAGAGTCAAGAGCATCAGCGCTTTACTTTTGTAAGTTGCATTGCAACTTTAAAGGCATTTTTTTCACCACATAAAGTGCTTAATGTTTTTTTTGTTCCATCTGTAGTTGGGAGGCAGAAGTTTGTCAGAAATGTTCTGAATGCAGCACCTTTGAAAAGTGGAAGTGTGGACGCCTCCAGCATCGAGAAACTACATTTCTACAAACCTGCAGCAAACAATCACATGAAAGGGGAACCCGAACCCGTTCCTCGTGCCTTAAACCATCAAGTTACGTCCCCCTGCTTTAACCCCAAAAAACGGAAGCAGGAGTCTAACAGTTGCGATGCTTCACGTCAAAGCTCTCCGACAAAGCGTTTATGCTCTTCAGCTTTTACTGCGGAGGAAATGGACTTGTTGAACAGCTATTAAAAAAGACGTGCAGCCTTCCAGAAAGGTAACAGTGGAAAAACAAAGGGCGTCCAGACTCAGAGGATCTATAGTTTATTTACACATATTAATGGTGGAAACTGAGTTGTAGTATTAACATATGTGAATCCTTTTTGTAAATAAAAGTTTTGTATTTTGCACGTCTTTGTCTGCAGTTTAAAACTCAACCTAATATAAAGATGCGAAAGTGAGCAGCAGTCCACCTACATTTCTGCTGTTAGTTTGCAGACTCATTTTGCACCTTTCAGTGATATCCTGATGCATGCTCAATAATCCAGGTAGAAAAATCCAAAAAAGTTCAAGTTTCAGTGATATGTTGTTGCAAGATCTTATGGCTTTACAAAGAAAACGTAAACTGTCATTATAAATCCCCAAACAACTGGCCAGTGCATATCCAGTAGTAGACGGCTGCCAGTGGCAACGTGTCAGATGCAGAGAATAAGAATTGCTTCTTCCTTTTTAGCACCTTCAAATGTTCAGTTCCTTAAGTTTGAATAGCTTAACAGGGTTTCCCCAACACTGGTCCTTGAGGAACACCATCCTGCATGTTTTGGTTGTTTCCTGCCAAGATGCCTGTTTTTTTATTATATATATAAAAGGGGGATTAACAGGCTTCTACAGAATGAGAGGAAGTAATTAAATCGCTGAATCAGGTGTGTTGGAGCAGGGAAACTACGTGCAGGATGGTGTTCCTCAAGGAACAGCTTTGGGAACCACTTAGACCATAACAAAGCATTTTTTGACACTTGTTCGCCATCTAAAGCCACGGAAAGGCATTAAAAAATGTATACTGTAAGACCTTAAGCTTTGATATGCAAAATATGTGCAGTTCATCTAAAAATGAAATTGGGCAGCTACCTAATTAATATGTCATCACTGGAAAAACTGCACTACAGATGAGCAGAAGAGTTACCCAGGTGGTAGTTATTTTATGTATAGTTATACAAGTTGTTCGTGCTTTGGTATTGCTCACTAAAAACTCAAAAAGTTAAAGATATGGCAAAAAAATCAACCGTAAAAATGGTGCAGATTTAGTAGTTTCCAGATACATTGAAGGAAATTCTGAAATGTGGGTTTACACTCAATGTAAACAATTAAAGCACTTTGCTGAAGCCACCAAAAAAACGTGGAAGCTTGAGTCACATGACCTACATGAGGCTGTGGCGGTAAACAAAAATGGCTGGCAAGTTTAACGTTTCATCTATTTTCAGTCACTTTCTGTGGGTAAATACAGGGTTATCTAAAAATTAGACTATCATGAAAAAGTTAGTTTTTGTCAATCATTTTAGAAAGTAAAACAAATTCATTACACAAAGTGAAATATTTCAAGCCTTTATTTCTTGTAAGTTTGATGATTATGACTTACAGATAATGAAAAAATACAATTCAGTGTCTCAGAAAATTTGAATATTGTGAAGTTTCTATTTTGTGAACTCCTGGTGTCACACCCTGGTCAGCTGATTAACTCAGGAGCTACAAATGTCACATTCCTCAGGCCGAGCCCCTCCTGAACCAGAGACAGAAGCGTCTCACCTGCTGAGGAGACAAAGAACTGGACTGATGCTCAGTGGTCCAATGTCCTCTTTCCAGGTTAAAGTAAATTTTCATGTCATTTGGAAATCAAGGTCCCAGATGGAGGAAGGGAGGAGAGGTCCAGAATCCATGTTGCTTGAAGTCCAGAGTAAGTTTCCAGTCAGTGATGGTTTGGGTCCATGTCCTCAGCTGGTGCTGGTCCACTGGGTTTTCTTAAGTCCAGTCAGCGCAGCATCTACCAGGACATTTTAGTCTTCATACTTCTGCTGACGAGCTTTATGGAGATGCTGGTTTCATTTCCCAGCATGACTTGACTCCTGCCCAAAGGTACCAGCAGCTGGCTGTGGAATATTAAAATTTTCTGACACTGAAGTTTTTTTTTTTCTTCATTGTAAGCCATAATCATCAAAAGTACAATAAAGGCTTGAAATATTTCACTATGCTAATATACACTAATAATAATAATACTACACTGATATTTCACTATATACAGAGTTTCACAAAGAAAAATGTGACTTTTTCCACGATGATCCAATATTTGAGATGCACCTGTAAACGCACACGACTGCATTAGTTACCTTTAAACAGGGTACTCAGTAACTGGGCTCTTTTATAAACTAAGGTTAGACCTGATGTGCTGCTGAACTGGAGCCGAGACGGTCCATTACTTCATTTCACAGCCTCAATGTGGAGGTAAGGATACAAAAAGCCAGCGCCATTCCTGTCAGTCTTGCGTGAACAATTGGCTGCAGAGTCATCAGAAAAAATTTGAAAGGGAGTATAAACAACAACTGGGCAGAAGAGATTAGCGTGCTTCACAGAACATTGTGAAAAAAGTGAAGCCCTTTGCTCACCATGACATGCTGAGAAAACAAAACTTTCACTGCACTGACCCTACAGCTGGCGTCAGAGTGTAATGAAAAACTAAACAGCTTTCTTTCTTAAATTCTACTTTATTGTTGAGAGAACCAGTGAAGAAAGACTTGGTGTACCGTCATTAGATTAAAAACATAATTTGCTGCTAAATGAATTATCTGGATAGCAATGCAAAAAAAAAGGAAAAAACAAGGAGTCTGCAGAATTATCACATTCTAATTTACCAACAAAAATGTGGGTTTAGGAGAAACCTGCATCAGTTCAAGTCACAAACAATTTAACATTTAATAAAATATGCACCAACAGTGCTACTGCACAGCAACAACACAAGAAAAGTCCTGAAGCCTTCCCGACTTGTGCCTCCCTCATTATATTGTAATGCCTCTATTACACCGATAAACTAACCTCCCAGCCACCCCAGTTTCAAAAGCTTCAATTAAAGTAGTGACATATGAATCAATACAAAGTACACTGCAAGTTCTGTTAACACCACATGCAGCTCAGGCTTTAAATTGGAGGATAAACAAAAACTATAAATTATTTGTAGAGGAGAAAGTCTCTTCTGGAGTGCAGCGTTAGATTCTAGATGTCAGACTGCCCCAGGTTGACCTTGGAGGAGAGTGGTCCTGCCTCTTCTGTCACTTTGGAGGTGATGATGAGCAGGGAGGATGCTGGGTATGGAGTCAGTTTCTGCTCGTTCATGTAGTCCTTGTCACCATAGATGCTCAACTTCTACAAGGCAAAGGAAATAGTCTTCTTAGTATTTGTGTTGAAACAGTACTTAACACAAAAGTAACCGATATTAATTTAAGCCATTAATAACTTTCCCATTTATTTGTTTGCTGTTTTTCCCCACATTCCTGACAACTCAGAAGCCTTTGCAAGTTTCTTATGTTGAACAATTCTTTACTTTTTCCAATAACACATATATTGAAAGAAATGACCCGTAACACCCACCTAAACTAAATTATAATATCTAGCAACTACATTTTGAAAGGAGTTTGTATTTTATTGACCCATTTTGATTTAATAAGCATGCAGCCATGATGCATGCTTTTATCTTTCAAGTGTCATGGGAAGTGTTCCACCAACAATTCAAAATATAAAAAACAGTTAATTTCCGAAATAGCATATTTTTCTCAGAAACTAAAGTTTTTGTAGGCATTAAAAAAAATGTCCAAAAACCTCTTGGTTTGAAAGGATTTAAATAAAAACAAGAGATCAGGTCTAAACAAGGTAAACAAAACTAAGTCTATGGCAAATGTCACAGGTTTTACCTCAGCAGGCACGTATTGGTCCACAGCAGTGGCTACAGTGGCACAGCAGATCCAGATCAGAACCAACACAGACAGGATCAAAGTTGAGGTCAGGATCCATCCTGGTAGCCACGGGTTCCTGAGGAGAAAAGTACCAACAGTAAGTCTGTGTGTGTGTGCAGAGCCATAAAAGAAAAGAAAGAAAAATGCAAACAAACCTTGACAGACAACTGAAGAGGTTGTATCCATCATCATAGCTGTGGTCACCAGACATATCTCTGTCTCTCTCTTGGATTAAAGTGCGATGGTATTCTTTGTAAATGGGATTGTTCAGTACTGGGACTTGAAAATAAGCAGCGGAAATGTACTTAATAGACATTTACACAACTTTTTTTTTTAAATTTTATTTTAAGTACAACTAAAGACATGAGTGTGATGTAAGAATCATTTCTGGACAACTAAAGTCTATGGCAGGGGTGCCCAATACGTTCATAACAAAAAGGTAATACGAGTAGATTGCATGGCATTAAAAAATAGGTGTCAGCCCATCATCCATCCTCAATATGAAATTTGTCACTTGATTGACATACAGGGCAGCCAATCTGAGACCTGACCTTTTCCAACACATGGGTCAACACGCATGTGCATACTACCGTGCCAAAAACTAGCAAGCTACAGAGTTGCCTAGTAAGAGCCTCCAGTTTATTTCTTCTAATATAACTCAAGAAAGGGTATTTAAATGAGTGGGGAAGCTGGACCAAGTAAGAAGCAAAAAAATCTACCATTTCCATACGGAATGGGGGGAGGACTTTTTTGTTTTTCTTTCCACGATGTCATATTCGAAGTGCGTTTGCCTCATCTGCCAGTCTACCATTTCTATTCCAAAGAAGGGAAATGCGGAGTGACATTTCGGTCTATTCATAAAAACCACACCACCGACTTCCTTTCGAAAAGCAAGATGAGAAAGAAAATGGTGAACTAAAATCCCAGTTATCCGGACAGCAGTCATTTTCCTTACAGCTGACAACAACAGTGAAGGCAGCTACCGAAGCATCGCTCCCAGTGAGTCACATCATTGTTAAACACAAGAAGTCCTTCAAAGACAGAGAGAGATGGTAAAAGAGGCATTCGTTGAACAGCCGACTGGTTACGAGACTTTAAAAGCAATCCAGAAATATTATCTTTGATCAAAGCTCTACAGGTATCAAGAAATACAGTTACACGGCACTGTGAGGCAATGTCCGAGGATTTGACCCAGCAACTTTGGAAGGATATCACGGGCTGCGAGTGATTGTCACCGCAATTGGACGAGTCTACAGACGTGAGTGACGCAGCAAATATGTTTTGTATTTTTATAGTAAGTAGATCACTTTGACTTGGTCAATGTACAAGTGGCTCACATGCTGAAAAAGTGTGGACACCCCTGGTCTATGGCATAAAGAAATAAACTATGGAGTACTTGTATACAATACTTATACAATACTATACTTATACAATACTTATATACAATTTTTTTTGTTTGTTTATTTGTTTTGTTTTTTGAATGTCCAGAGGACCAGATTTAACTTTTTTAGATTTTTCTACCTGGATTATTGAGCATGCATCAGGACATGGAGTACTTACTGCTTTTTGGTGGCTCTTGTCTGATTTCTTCGTCCAGATCAAACTGGGTGAAGAACTTCACTTGTGGTTCAGTCTGCTGAAAATAAAAAGGTTTAAGATGTCAAATCAAACTCTAGGGAACATTTCCTGCATAGCAACCTACTGGTCCTTCCACCAAGATCATCATTACAATTTGAAACATACAAACAACAGATATGAATAATTCTACAATGTATTGGTTTAACAAATTTATACACACACGCTGACATGTTCAAAAACACATACAGGTCCTTCTAAAAAAATTAGCATATTGTGATAAAGGTCATTATTTTCCATAATGTAATGATAAAAATGAAACTTTCATATATTTCAGATTCATTGCACACCAACTGAAATATTTCAGGTCTTTAATTGTTTTAATACTGATGATTATGGCATACAGCTCATGAAAACCCAAAATGCATGTCCCAAAAAATTAGCATATTTCATCCCACCAATGAAAGACAAGTGTTTTTAATACAAAAAACACCAACCTTCAAATAATCATGTTCAGTTATGCACTCAATACTTGGTCGAGAATCCTTTTGCATGAATGACTGCTTCAATGCGGCGTGGCATGGAGGCAATCAGCCTGTGGCACTGCTGAGGTGTTATGGAGGCCCAGGATGCTTCGATAGCGGCCTTAAGCTCATCCAGAGTGTTGGGTCTTGTGTCTCTCAACTTTCTCTTCACAATATCCCACAGGTTCTCTATGGGGTTCAGGTCAGGAGAGTTGGCAGGCCAATTGAGCACAGTAATACCATGGTCAGTAAACCATTTACCAGTGGTTTTGGCACTGTGAGCAGGTGCCAGGTTGTGCTGAAAAATGAAATCTTCATCTCCATAAAGCTTTTCAGCAGATGGAAGCATGAAGGGCTCCAAAATCTCCTGACAGCTAGCTGCATTGACCCTGTGCTTGATATAACACAGTGGACCAACACCAGCAGCTGACATGGCACCCCAGACCATCACTGACTGTGGGTGCTTCACACTGGACTTCTGGCATTTCCTTCTCCCCAGTCTTCCTCCAGACTCTGGCACCTTGATTTCCGAATGACATGCAAAATTTGCTTTCATCCGAAAAAAGTACTTTGGACCACTGAGCAACAGTCCAGTGCTGCTTCTCTGTAGCCCAGGTCAGGCGCTTCTGCTGCTGTTTCTGGTTCAAAAGTGGCTTGACCTGGGGAATGCGGCACCTGTAGCCCATTTCCTGCACACGCCTGTGCACGGTGGCTCTGGATGTTTCCACTCCAGACTCAGTCCACTGCTTCCGCAGGTCCCCCAAGGTCTGGAATCGGCCCTTCTCCACAATCCTCCTCAGGGTCCGGTCACCTCTTCTCGTTGTGCAGCGTTTTCTGCCACACTTTTCCCTTCCCACAGACTTCCCACTGAGGTGCCTTGATACAGCACTCTGGGAACAGCCTATTCGTTCAGCAATTTCTTTCTGTGTCTTACCCTCTTGCTTGAGGGTGTCAATGATGGCCTTCTGGACAGCAGTCAGGTCGGCAGTCTTACCCATGATTGCGGTTTTGAGTAATGAACAAGGCTGGGAGTTTTTAAAAGCCTCAGGAATCTTTTGCAGGTGTTTAGAGTTACGTCGTTGATTCAGATGGTTAGGTTAATAGCTTGTTTAGAGAACCTTTTCATGATATGCTAATTTTTTGGGACAGGCATTTTGGGTTTTCATGAGCTGTATGCCATAATCATCAGTATTAAAACAATTAAAGACCTGAAATATTTCAGTTGGTGTGCAATGAATCTGAAATATGTGAAAGTTTCATTTTTATCATTACATTATGGAAAATAATGACCTTTATCACAATATGCTAATTTTTTGAGAAGGACCTGTATTTGCATCAAAAAGAATGTAGTTAAAGCATTACCATAAAAGGACTAATACATAAACAAGACAAACAATAAATCCTTATCGAATGATTTTGCAAATAGAAGCTTTTTTAGCCTTTTCCTAAAAATATTAACAATAGTCAGTTTTCTCAGATTTAAAAGGCAGCGTATGTGGCTTTTTGGAGCACAAATATAAAAGGTAGCTCTACCTAATTTGTAAAATGAGCAAGGTATGTCTAAAATATCACAGTCTGCAGACGTCTGAGCGATCTGAAATGTCTCATAGGACATTTCAAGCTTTTTATACAAGCAAAAGGATCTTAAAATTGATTCTGCTTCCAATGGGAAGCCATTGCAGAGATCCAAGGACAGGTGTGATGTGTCCAAACAATCTAATATCTGTGAGAAAAAGAGCAGCTGCATTTTTAATCAGCTGTAGTGTGCACACAGCCGATTTCAGAAGGCCTGTAAAGAAGCCATTAGAAAAGTCTACTCTACTAGTGATAAATGCTTAAAAATAATCTTTCCAAGTCAGATTTTGATTAAATGTTTAACTTTAGGAATGTTTTTCAAATGATAAAAAGCCAGTTTAGTATAAATTTAGGTGACGTTAGAAATTTACATCACTAAAGTTTTGTGCTTCATTTTTGGTCTCCAAAAAGAGAGAAATGAAATGAGCTGCAAATTGCTGTCTTTGGGTCAAATGTGAGTTTTTCTATATAATCCTTGTTTAGTTGTAGGAAGTTGTGTAACATTCGTAGATTTATATCATTTAAACATTCTGTAATGGAATTCAGAGGGTCTGTATCAAAAGAATGGAATGTAAAACTAAATCAGCTGCATAATTGCCGAAGTGCACATACAGTTCCTGAATGACAAGTACAAATGAAAGCAAAAATTATTTTTTTTAAAACTAAGATTCAATGTTTTGTTAGCACATATTGTTAGATCAGCTCTCGTCACGAGATACCTGGAAAATGACAACTTTTCCATCATCCGCCTGGAGATAGAAAGTCCAGGTGGAAGTGATGAAGCTGTGGGCCTGACTCATTAAATCATCCCAAAAACCTCTAACCAGAGTCAGCGGGTACAGGAGATGAATCCTGGGCATCATGGCATCCAACTATGACAAAAAAAAGAAGAAGAAGAGAACAGCTGAACATGCCATGTCCATGAAAAGTGTCCTGATGCATACAGTGATCAGTATACCTGCTCCATCCGCTGCTCTGCGATAGGAAGCTGATTATGACAGCCCATGTTGCATGCATACTGCTCATCAGTCTGGGAGTAGGCTTCACGACAAGCTGCACAAGTTTGAGGAAATGAGAGGTAACAGGTGGTTAAACAGGTTTTCATCCAGTGGTTCAGAAGATTATTTGTCAGCAATTTGCGTTAAGGCTGAACACACATACACACAATTGCTTTACGACTTAAAAGTAGGCATTGAGACAGAGTCTCACCCACATTTGATTTTACTGAAGGGACTAAGGAAAGGTTCAGTTCATAACTTACTTGATTCACACTCGGATTTGGTCTGATTCAAATTGTCGCTGTCACGAACAAACTGACAAATGGAGAACAGACGGCAGCCTCTCTGACAGGCATAAAGTTCCTCCTCCTGAATTAAAAACAACAACAACAACAACAAACAAAACAAAACCAGTTGAATGTCTCAAGAAAACATTGTATGCGAGGTATGACGCACTTTCGATAATTGCACAAGTCAAGAGGCAAGTTAAATAGGAAACAATTCGTTAAACGACAGAACCGAGTCAAGTAAACTCGTTAGCATTTTAGCTTTAGCCGAATTACAAAACGTTAGCTCGCGTTAGCCAAACAAGTACTCACCCGCGGATATGTGTGCAGACTGTATGTCAGTCCACACGACTTGTGACAAGACACCGTGTTTCCCAAAACGCTGTCAAAAATGTCTGAAGATGCTAATGTGCACACAGTGAGGACATGAAGTCCGAAAGCATAAAGAACGAAAGACGTCGTACCCATTTTGCCTGTAAAAACCTAAACAAACACGTTCTCGTTCCTCGTCCGCCTTAATCAACTGTATTATCGCGAGACTTCAGTATGTCTATGTCTGGCTACGTTTACAATGTTTTTTTTTCTGTTTGTGAATACTTCTCTATACTTTTATTTGCAATCTAACTACTTCTGCATGGTTTGTACTATTAACCTTTCATAAATGAGCACATTCAAGAAAGATGCAATGCTATTTTGTACTGTTTTCTAAATATTTAAATTTATATACAAATATTTCCCCACAAAAATACAATAGGTTTCCTTTATTAAAAAAAAAACAAAAAAAACTGCTCTCTTTGAAATCTGTGTTAGCATATTTGCTCTATTTTTGCATTGTTATGCTACATTCAGCCTTTAGGGGAGTGGTGGTGCAGAGGTTAGGCCTATGATCGGAAGTTCGTTAATTCAAATCCCCATGCAGACTGACAGCATCAAAATGTGGGTGGGAAAGGTGAAGCACCTACACCTGCATCCACTCTCATTTACCCTACTCTGAGCCCTTGAGCAAGGCCCTTACCATCTGCTCCCCTGTGCGCTCTGCTCCCTGCTCCACACAGAGGGCTGTGGTAGCTCAGAGGTCAGGAAGGGCATCAGGTGAAAAAACAATTGCCAAGTCTTCCTGTGATTTAATTCACTGTGGTGACCCCTGAAGCAGCCGAAAGAAGAAAAATAATGCTGCTTCCCACTTAGCTTGCCTTTTGCTACTTTTGGCTATTGCATCTTTTTTTTTTTTTTTTTTACTTTAGCTCTTAGCTATCCTTTTGCCGCTTTTATTTAGCATGTTGCTACTTTTAGCTCCCAGCCAGAACAACATTTATTTATTTAATTTGAGGCAGTTGGCCAAGATAAGGCCAATTCTTTCACAACAGTGGATTTAATTGTTGCTTTATATACTTATGTTGGGGTCAGTGCGTCTTCCATTGCTTTCTACAGATGGTGCAAAATGCAGCGGCACGTCTTAATTTAAAGGCAGTGCGTTTCATTTTATTGGAGCACAAATTCACAGCTCTACCCAATTTTGAGCCATCGAAAATATCATGGTCTGCAGACCTGAGTGACCTGAAATGTCTCATAGGCCATTTAAAGTTTTTTAATACAAACAAATGGATCTAAATTAATTCTGCTTTCAAAAGGAAGCCAGTGCAGGGATCCAGGTGTAATGTGTTCAAACAGTACCTTTGAGAAGAAGAGCATGCATTTTGAATCAGCTAGTGTGCACACAGCAGATTTCAGAAGGCCTGTAAAGAAGCCATTAGAAAAGTCTACTCTACTAGTGATAAATGCGTAAAATATATGTTCTCACAGTTGGACTTGGATCAAATGTTTAACTTTAGGAATGTATTTACCTACAGTTTATGTAACTCGTACAGTTATTTATGGTCGGTTCATTATTTGTACACTCAATAAGCGAACTCTTGTAGCATCACAAAAATTATTTTATGGAGAATTTATTATCGTACGGGTCTTGAGTCACGGGAAACATTTCTATTTGACTAAAGAATGTAAGACTCCAAACGACAAACTAAAATCTAAAAAGCAGAACCATTTTAATTTAGCTGGTTGTGCAAATGAGCATATCCTCACATTTTTTTCTTATGGTCCATTTTTATTAAAGCCTTTAATGAAAACTGTCCCATCTGAGGTGTTCCTCCAGCACAGACGGCATCAGTTGTCTCACTCAGCTTAAGCTTTGTCTGCAGAAACAAAAATACTCCTCATTTCATTTATCAGCGCTGAATGTTACATTTACTTTTCATTAAATGGGTGTTTAATCTAATTTGGTATGAACACAAAACAATGGGTTTAAAATTTATTTACTGATTGATTTGCTAACCTAAAGTGTAACCCAACTTAATCTAAAAATAAAAAATAAATCCTAAAATATAATTCAGTAGGTGGACGTTATGACGTTTCACATCCATGTACACTAGGCGGCGCTGTGTACCTTTTAGTTGTCTGCGACCCGCCTGAAAGAAAAGAAGCTGCAGAAGGGAAAACAGCAGAAGATATCATGAACTCATAGTTTAAAAATGACTTAATTTGAGCTATAAATGTGTTTACTGTATTTATTTATTTTAAATGACTTGATTTGAGCTATAAATGTGTTTACTGTATTTATTTATTTTTTGTGTGGCGCTGGCGACGTAACGTCCAACCAGTTAGCTGTTAGCGGATGCTAGCAGTATTTAGCATCTACTTGAAACATACTTCAACAAGTAAAATTTGATTTCGTCTTTTGAAGATGGACAAATTTGTAGTGCAGCTACCCAAAGGCGAAAAACCCAAACAATCGAAAAGTGACGAGAAGGTTTACAAGCAAGCTACAATTGAATCCTTACGGGTGAGTATTTTTTACTGAGTTTTCAACAGTGTTCTTGCCTGAAGAGTAGCTCATTTTTGTGTTTCTTTAAGAGGGTGGTTGTGATTGAGGACATCCTGCGCTATAAGTCCATGCTGGAGCTGCCAGATCAGAGCAAAGACAACCTGCTGAGTGCCCTGCTGGAGCTGAGCAAAAAGATCCCATCCAGAGAGGTGCTAAAGTCCACCAAGATAGGCAAGTCATCTGCTCCATACTGAGGTTTTTGATGCTGTTCCTGGAACCAAATAATTCATAAAGTTGCATGCTTTGGCTTTGTGTCGACTAATTATGCTGTTTGGATTGCATGTTTTAAATAACACATAAATCAAACACGATATTTTAGCTCCTGGAACATCTTGCAACAAGATCTGAAGATATCCACTTTGCTTTCTTTAAGGGATTTTAAACATTTGATAAGGTCATTAGATAAATCTAATCAAATATGTTCTTGTTTTTGGTATTTTACCTTGTTTTATTATAAGTGATACGATAGTTTGATAATTAAGTGATGTGGTAGTTTTTATAACACTACTTTTTATTTTCATTGCTTTTTATTGTTGTGTACTGTTATCTGTACTTTTTATGTTGTCTGTCTAAAACAGGTCTCTTGAAAAGGAGTTCTCATGACTCAATGAGAAATCAAATCAAATATAAAAAATTGAAAGTACAAACAAAAATTAAACTTCAAATGTGACAAGCTAATAAAAATAAGAGCTTAATTTTATTTGAATTACTTAAACGCATATTAAAACATCACTTCTTTCAGGTCACACCGTCAACAAAATGCGAAAACATCTGGATTCCGAGGTGAGTTCAGTGGCAGCCAAAGTTTACACCGACTGGAGGACTTTTATTGAGGAGAGTTCCAACAAGCCCTCTATTGAAGTACGCTCCGACAAGCAGTCCGAAGCACTCAGGAGCAACGCACGAAGACTGCTGGCTAATGCACTGGAGGTCCAGGTGAAAAATAAATTACATCTTAATAATGTTTAATGTGAGACGAGAAGATTTTGTGTTATTTTTTGGAATATGAATCATGCTGTTAAAATAACCTGTGAGACTAAAATAGCATCAAAGCACATGACAGTTGAAAGTTTGTTTGTTTTACATTAAAAATAAAACGTGCAAGATCAATTTTAACATTTTTTTTTTTATTTCAAGTTAGATCTCAGAAGTGAACTTTTAGCAAAACTGACCTACAGTAAATTATAGCTGCTAGATTTACATCCACCTAAATTGTTTTTAGTCCACTTTTTTAATGCTTAGTAACATTTTCTTGTTTGTTTTGTAAAAATTTGATTACCTTCTCTTTTGTTTGTGTGTGTGTGTTTGACATACAGGAGGATTCTGGGCTCATAGACAACATCGAAAGAGAAGTTTTTCACCGGAGCCGCCGGTTAGTCAGCAGCTCATACAGACGGACTGTTAGAGCCTTGGTGTTTGCCCTCAAACACAACCCTGATATCAGAAATCAAACAAAGGACAGTCAAATATCAGTCAATGAACTGGTTTCTAAATACAAAAAATAAGTGAAAATTTCAAAACAGACTGAACTTTGGACTCCATAGTTTTTAACGCATTCACATTGTTTTAGGTTTTAATGTTTTTAAATGTTTCTTTGGGTATTTTCTCTTGAGAAGAGACAAAACACTTTTTACACTTTGTGGCACATCAATAACGTTACACTTTTTTCTACATATATACAGATAAATAAAAAAAGAAGAGTGGTGTTAAGGAATATTTGTTCTAATTTAATTATTTTGACTTTAATTTTATAATGTGTGCTTTGATTTAAGGATTGAGAACCCAATTATTAAAGTGCACTCTTTCTTAAACAAGTTTATGTTTTGTAATGGTTTAAAGTTCAATTCTTATGAGCTGTTCAAAGCCTTTTGCACTCCAGGAGTATTCACTAGGTCATGCTCCTAATCCTAATCCACATTTACGGTTTAAATACACACTTTTTAAATTAAATAATACAATCTATACAACAGTGACACATTGGATGTAGTTAGGAGATGAGTACAATACTCAAAGACACTTTGACCTGTGGATTGTGTTTTAGGTCAGTGGTTATAAATAATGTGTTGAGTTTAGGGTTGTCAATCCCTGTCTGATACCTTTGCTGAACACGTTTCGGCTGTGATATTTAATCTAATCAAAGCAGTGCTGTTACATATCGACCTTACAGAAACTACATTTTTAAATTTTTTTTAACGCCCAAAAGATTTAAAGTTTATAAAATATTAACCTCTTGGTGAGTTTAAGTACTTTAAGCAGTCATATTTAGGCCCCATGTGCCTGAGTAAAAATAGGGTCTGCCTCAATACCAAATATAAATTCTAATAATATTAAACATGTCTTTAGTAGAAGTAATGGCACATATAGATACAAGTTCGTATCACATCAAAATGAAAACTAAAGATCTTGTAAGTACATATTAAATATTAAAAGATTAATTCTAGCATTTTTTTAAAAATATGGAGCAATTAGTAGTTTAATTTAGTGAGATCAGCATGAATTAGACAAATGTACCAAAATGATCCAAATGGGGTAAAAGTGAATTATAAACGATGACCCTAATGAACGTGTGATCGCTAAAGAAGCACCAGCCAGACAATGGCTATCATCATGAGAATGACAGCAAGAACACAGATGCTGATGAAGACAATGTCACTCAAGTCATGAGGCTTAGTTTCTAAGTCCGCTGCAAAGCCGCTGTTGTCACCGTCCGTCTGCAGGGCCTGCTCCTCCAGGCGTCGCTCCTCCGCAGAAATGATGGACACTGCAGCTATCTTCCGCAAGGAATCGCACTGCACCTTGTATTCCTGCACGTTTTGCTGCTTCCCATCAGAGAAATCGATGTAGAGCTTGTTTACGAGCATGGTGATGTTTCGGTGTTTCTTCAAGGAATCAATATAAACCGTGTTAATAAGAAGAATGGGAGTAATAACAAACAAGTAAGAGAGCTGGTTACCTGGCTTGCAGTACCGCAGTTGACAAACTGAGCCAGTATTTTGTAGGAGGTTGATGTTAACTGCGCTGTGCAGGTTGGGTTTCCCAGGTAGATGCTATCCTTGTCCAGGTGAGGTAAGGACTGCTGCGGTATCAGAATGGTAAATTCTGATCTTGTGCAGCTAACGTTTACAGGCACCACTGGAGGAAAAAAGACAGCACAATCATTTCATGAGCAGCA